CTTTTTTAAAAATTATTTCAAGTTTTTTAACTATTACAATTTAATTTGTAATATCAACTAAAACACCCAGTAAATTTTTTTCTGGTGCGATTATATTTTTACAAATTCGGGTCTAAATTGTAATTTTTATTATTTTCGCTTACGAAACAACGGGCTAGTGGGATAAATTGTAAGTATCGCTTTAATATTTAAGTAAATTTTCCTTTTCCATTAGCTATATCATATCCTCTATTTTCTAAATTTCCTTGAAACACTTTTTTCTAGAAGATTGTTTTGTTTATTCACTTAAATTTTGTTTTATGTTAAGGCTTTGCCCATAAATTACGTACTACCTGATGCAGAATTTATCAATTCTTTACCTCTTCCCTTCATGCAACGGATGGTCTCCTGACCCCCTGCAACCCTTTCCCTCTAGTAGGACCGTAACGCACGGCTGGACTCTCCCTCTCCCCAATTACCGTTACGCAATTTATAAATAACCCCTAATAGCGAATTCAGCTTTTTAATAAAGTACGCTCATTTTTTATCAAAGAAATTAGGAATTTTCGTTTGTTTCTGAGAACTTCTTGCAAGGAATAAAACATTTGTAGCTAAAACGACTGTAAAATATATTCTGCTCATATCTCACACCATTGAGTGTCTACATGTCTGGTCTATCCAGTTATCAATAATTAACTGATTAAAAATAAGCGGAACTGACAAATTAACAGCTGCATAAAAAAGGCTTTCAGATATTTTATCTTTTAATTATTGGCTACATGATAAATCTGATATAAACGTAAAAAAAACATGATTTTGTAAACATGTACATGTATTTTGAATGCTGTACTTTTCCTCAAAATTTTTCATAATACTTTTTAAACTCGTATATGGTAAATAATTTTCGATCTAATAATTATATTTTAATCTGGCTATCAAACTTATTATTAAAAGTCAGGTTTTATTTTATCCTCGTTAAGTGCTTTGCGGAGAAAATTTTTTAGTCGCACTAACGATAATGTAATTACAATTAACTATACTTATATATCACGCGATACTTAAGTATTCAAGTGTTTACTGGAAGTGCAGCGCATAATCAATACGAGCCCAGAATCACATCACTAAGTTCAATAGATAATTTAAAATCCAATCCGAAATAGAAACGTAGTAAAGTTTTGCGCATTTGATTTGAATCAAATCTGTTGGAGATATTAAAATTAAGTAAATGCCAATATATACGATACTAGAAATCATATTAGTTAGATATTTAATACAAAACCCTCAAAACAATATATTTCACGCCTTCCTCCTAGCCTACATTCGTCTCCGAAAGCGCATACAACTTTAAAACAATTCCTGACTTAAGTAGATAAAATAATTTTACGCCCCAGATTACTGTTAAGCTGCATTGATATTATTATTAAACGCAGGGGTGGTTGCAGTTATATTGGTAACAATAGTAACATGGGAAATTATACAATGATCTCTATTTAATTCTGATGACATACGCAAGATACAGAAATAAAATAAACAAAGCAGTATTTTTCAATTCAGATAATTCAATTGACTCAATACATGAAGCGGTGTTTTCTTGTCGTAGCAGACATAAATTAAAACAAAACTGTTCATCAAGTCATTGACTGTAGGTCCTAAAAATAGCTTTTGTTTCTTTATCCTAAAACTACCATATTGATACTACAGTCGTTGTTATTAAATTTGGATACTTAGATGCAATAAGGTTTTTGTTTTGTTGCTTCGGTTGTCAGGTGCAGGGGTTGATTTCAAAGATATGGGGGTTGAGAGGCTGTCGCCTCAAAGGGCTCCATATAGAGAGTCAGTAAAGGTGACGTAATTCGATGTATCTTATGAGAAAGGCAAAAAGGCACGTATTGCTTTAATTTTACGAACAATTGAAAAATGAAAGACGAAGAATGGAATAATTATTAAGAATTATTTCATAAGAGGTAAGTGTTCGTTTTTAGAAATTGTCTGCTAGGGTTAGCAGTAGAATCGTAGAATGTGATATGGCGGAGTAATAACATTGCAATTACGTTCTAACAACGTACGATAATTATTAAATGACGATCGCGATAAAGGGGTGGATACCGTACACACACGACTCCACGTGCCTCACATACGACAAAACGTCCTACTTCCGTTTCGGAACAGGAAGCAGAGACGTTACTCAATCCTCTTCAAATAATTTCCCTAATTGTGCCATTATTTCCCAGGCTGGCGATTAAAAAAGGGGTGAAACGCGTAAAGTGTATTTCGTAATGTTAATAATTAAAGGTCAAAAGCGGGTTAAGTTGGCAGCAACTTACACAGGTCAAAAAGTTATTTGTTAAAATTAANTTACTAATTTTACTAATAAATTCAGTTAATATTCACTAATTTGCAGTGGAGCAGTGTAAATGCTATAACTGTGAAGATTAGTGCATATTCACTGAAAATTATGTAGATAAAGCGTATATAAGTAAAAGACCTTTCTTATTATATAGACTCAATTTCATATGGCGACAGAAAAAAATCGTCATAATGAAAGACTCACTAAGTTAGAAGAGCAGATGAAAAATCTTAGCACAAGCAGCATCACAAGGTAAATTAATTTAATTATAATTCTTATTCTCAATTATAAGAAGAATAAGGCTATGTTAGATACCTACATATACGTATATACCTCGTCGTAAAATAAGTTATGCTCAGTTATTCACGAATTAGAAAGTAACTGAAGAAAATGTAAAAAAAACTTTTATTTGCTCAATTTTTTTTATTAATCTCTTGATCAACTGTTGAATTTGTCACATGAATAGTCTGATTTAAATTCAAACTTCCTAATAATCATTACATGAGTACTGAGCAGAAGTTGTATCATCCGATATTAAAACGCGATTCATAAGAAACTCCGCATATCATGGGAACGGCGTCGGCCACATAAATGAAAGCATTCCCTGTTTCGTCGTCGATGCGACGGGCGTCGTTTCTACGCGATCCCTATAGCCGTTGGTCGTATGTTGATAACACGGAAACATGCCTTATCGGTCGACATATTTTCCAGCCTATGCAAACATTACCACGTCGTGACGTAAACCGTTGCGACGCTATTGCGGCCACACTTTAGTTCATGCACTACGTTCAAAATGTAGAATATATATATTTATGTACTTATGCATGTACCTTGTGTAACTACAACAGCACATCTACACTAATGTCCGTCATTCTTATATAGATAACTCAAAATTTTGTGCTCTTCGTAAAACTTTAAATATGAAAAGAAAGTCAGTAATTTAATTTCGGTTTAACAGAATAGCTGAATATATTAAATAAATATTATACTAAAATAACATTGTACCTAATCAAATGCAAAAAACTGTGTATGTGGTACAGGGTGTATCTGCGTATCACACAGTCTTCGTAACTTTAGATACCCCTCTTGGGTTTTTTTAAAACACTATCCGAAGATTCTACTGAAATTTAATCAATACATTTTGAGAAATTCGCGATTTTGGAACTGTGTATTGAGTCACATAGCCGTGCTCCAAATATAAATTAATAATCTTTATCCAATTTCCAAATTAGCCGATCTCAAGCACAACTGATTTTTTTTGTTAAAAGCGACCTGGCCCTGCGCCTTTTGCTTTTTTCATCCGACTTCATTAATATCGAAAATCAAGTAATATTTCTTCTAGTTTATCGTCCCTACTTTTATATTAGTTTTAACCCAATATTTTTGTTTTATTTTTATTTTATTTTCATACCACACTCTTCTGTCAATATCGCTTCTATTTTATTGTATATTTAATGCACATTTAAATACTTAATTATTAAAACAACTCATGGTTTTGAGTTTTTGTATGATTTTGTTTGTGCAAAAGGGATCAAGAATTAACACTAATCGTAAGTAGTATACATACTATATTATGTGTGAATCAGTAAATAAAAAGTTACTGCTTTAGCACAACTAACTAAAGTATTGCAAAATATGTAGCAAGAGAGAAGTGAAAAAATTCTGTTCGGAATTTTTTGACCCTGCACTGATTGCACAGTCTGGGTAGGACCTATTCCAATAAATTAGAATTATCTTTAATACATGTACGTGTTCTAATACGTTTCTTTATTTTATTAATTTAAAATCGGTACACGTTTAAATTAACGCGTCTAGAATTTTCGGAACCAGTCGTTTTTCATTCCAGGGATGATTTGTCATTAACTGAAGAAGGAATAAGTTCCGCTAAACAGGTGTTAGAATTAGAGAGAGAAGCTTTGACACTACGAAGGGAGCTACAAGAAACCAGGGCCAAGAAGGAAGAGTCCGATCAAAAATTATTCCAGTAAGTTTTTTTAAATAACGTAATATTTAAGTTATATAATGCATTGTTTGCACCACATATGAGAAGAAATGTTTTAATATTAAAAACGACTTCTATTTTGAAGAAAATAATTTAAAAGATGCGTAAGTCATTAACAGGGAATGTGTCTATTTTACCCGTAAAAAGAAAGTAAAACTTTTTGAACCTCAAAAGATCCTAATGATTTTGACGCCTAAAAACGTATTCGTATAAATAGTACCTGATAAATAAATAAAAAATTGAATTATAAGAAGGCCTTTAAAAACTAAGTATTTTCGAATAAATATTGAAATTATTTTTAAGTTTTTAATGTTAGATTGGACAAAAAGTTGACCACCCTCATGCATCAAAAAGAAAGTTCTCCGTCCATTATTTCTGATGACACTAAGGGTTCGTCATGCACCGATTTGATATCCATAGCATCAAGTCAATGCAACCCTCAAAGGGTGACTCTTAGCGGGCCAGTCACTGAACTATAACAACTCAAAATCAGAATAAAACTAATTTTCGGCGTATCACATAAACAAATGACTGTTAAATAGAATAAAAGTGTCCCATTTGAAGACAGTCCCTTCGAATTTTTTAAATTGAAAATGCGTAATATTCGTTAATTAAGCAGAAACAGAAATAGTTCTTATTGAAGTTGAAAAAAAAAAGGAAACGTAATATATCTATACTTTTGAAATTTATTTTGCAACAATTAGTTTTTTTTATGTATCTATTGCCTACTAGATGATATAGACCTAGTTTTAAGTTACATACACTTGTATTAATTTTTCACGAATTGATATACGAACAGCTCTCTATCATTCATATCTGAGGTTGAAGACTGCAAATAACAATTTCCTAACTTTATACCTATGAAAAAACAATTGTCGTACCTCATGCCATTAAATTTTATGTTAATTACAACATCTACTGTTGTTTAAATTCCTGTGTTATATTAGATATAAGCGTAAAACAGTTGTGTTGTGATTAAAATTATTCTTTCGATTCTTGTTGAAAAATGCGTTTAGGACTTGAGGTTCCTATATAGATCTTATATATTTTTATATTCGTTTTATTCATTTTTTATCATAATTTAATGTTATCTAGTTATGTATACGTAATATACATAACCACATCTTATCTCTTCAACTTAGTGAATTAGGAAATCACTAAAAATTAGACAATATATATGCCTATTACACTTTTACATCATAAGTAGTTTAATCATTAAGATTTTTTAATTTCTTAAAAATAATAATATTTAATGAATTTAACTATTATAATTGTGGCAGTAAATTTAATTTCACGAATCTTTTCTTGATAAAATACAATAGTTTAAACTTTGTCAGTTTTCATTTCTTTTTGGCGTTAAGGCTTTATTAAGGTAGGATTTGTTTTATTCATCAGCATCATAGGGTCAGACCAAAGAGATTTGAAAATCTTCACATTTAGATCCTCCTCTTTTTACTCCTGTTTGTGCTTCTCGTACGTCTATAACTAGCCCTTCATGTTTTAGAAGGTATCCCCTCGTTCATTTTTAACCGTTTTGTATTTTATATTTTAATGTATAATAGCAATTATTGACTCAAAAGCCTACCTTGATATAGCCTCTACACCAAAAGGCGAAACGTTGATGGTTGTTTTTGTCCCTATCTTGACTTTGATTCTGCACATTCTTTGCTTTTTTGTCGTAATTCAGGTTGACTGACGAATGAATTTACCTTCTTTTAGTAAAATTTTCAATTGAGGGCATCAAGTTTGAATTATGAATTATATCTACTTACAGGGTGTTTTAGCCTACTTATTGTTGAAAGTAAAATGATACAGTTTTTGATTGGAAAATCCTCTCCAAATGGAAATTAACCGTACATACTAATTGTTTCAAAACATCCTGTATAGTACCGTGCAAATCAATGTTATTCG